GTTTATTGCTTGGTTTCCACAGACATCTACATGTTGTACAGATAAATAACTAGCAAAATTCCGCTTACTGTTACTGCCTTTGTTTCTGCCGGTTGCATCTTCACAGACTTGTGCAAAATAGTTAAACTTGCTAGAAACGTTGATTTGTGAAGAGATTTATCACATTTTGACCTATAGTGAGATCCTGCAGTAAGACATTATGCACAATTATTAATGATGAAAATAGATGAGAACATTCAAACTTTGTTTTGGTTAAATAACAATAATCCTGTCTCTGCTACAGCACGTGTATTTGTGCATCTTGTCTCTGAGTCCTGGCTTGTGCCTTTTCTTCTGCTCTACAGAAGCCTGTAAGGAGGTGACCCTGACTGAGTGACAGGGTAGGAAGCGTCAGCCGAAGTGGAGACGTAAATAGTAAATCACGTAAATTAGTTTGAAGGTTGAGGTAGGGAGCACGAGACTGAGCAGAGCCAGTCTGAAGGTCCCAGAGATGCCTGCAACCAATGCACTCTAGAGGCTTGGAAACCAAAGCGCTAGACAGCTGAGTGAAGTGGAGTTGCTGCACTGAGATTGAGTTTCTGAATTTGTTTTTTGTTTGTTTGAACACTGATCAGATGCGCACACACACAAAGTATACTGTAAATAGATTCTAACGAATGTGGGCTTCAGTGTTTTGGGTTGTGTAGTTATGATCCTGCTGCTGTTATCAGTTGATTTTTGTCCCATTTTGTAGTCGATACTGGACGTTATCAGCTCCAGGAAAGCTCGTCTTTTCCTCAGTATTTGCTGTAGAAAAGGTAAACGTTCACAGATGCAACTTCAAGTTTGGTAGCAAAACTGCACTTCACCTACAGTGTGGCCATTTTATGACTGGTGCTGTTCCAAAAAAAAAAAAACCAACACAAATTCACCAGTGCCAATATGGAGCCCAGTCTTTATTTGTGCCTTTTGTTCGCCCATACCGGTTTAAAACTGTACTTGTCCTTGGACTGTTCTCAGAATAGTGCAGTTGTTGGAATTTTAAAGAAAGTAAGGTATGAATGTGCAACATTGTAGTTGCAAATCCTACCATCTACTTCTGTTTCAGAAAAGGTTTCCCTTTATTTGGCTGTGTTTAGTGTGTAAATTCTAAAATTTGCAAACATGTCAGAAGTGTTAAGAATTTCTAATAAATGATCAGGTTTTGAAAATAAAATCCAAATCATTTGGCACAAATGTGCAGTAGTCGGAGGCAAATAAAGCTGTACATTAGCAGCCAAGAGCTATGAGAAGCTCTTACGCATTTTACATCAGTAGTGGTTTAGAGTGACTGTGAATCAAGGATGCATTTTTGTAATGGTATCACAACTCAGTAAAAAGTCCTTTTAGATGTTTAAAAGTTTTTGTTTTGTTTTTTAACATTTAGTTTAAGTGGTTTAGATTTTTCAGTTAATCAGACGCTCACAAACATTGCAAAACGACCCGGTTATCTCAGCTGTAGCTCCACAGGACTCATCTCCATCCCTGACTGTAAATAGGATCGTCTTTGGGAAACGAGTCGCAGAAAGCTTTATTTTTATGAACGTGTCAACGTGTTTCAAGTGACTGCAGTTTTAATGTTATTTTTGTAAATATATTGTGGCAATATGTCCAGTTCAAAGAAACTTTATATCAGATCAACATGTACTGTAAATGTGCAAGCATGAGAAACAACACTTCAGAAGTATGAATGTTCATTTTACTTTTTTCTATTTTTCTGACTGCAGAAAAATAAATGGACACTGAATATACTTTAAAGCCTTGTTTTTACAGCCTCAACTCAGACTTTCCTGTCAGGTGAACTCCTGTACTATTTCATCACATCCCTTCAGTAGATTGGATGTCTTTCATGGAATTGTGTGTGTGTGTGTGTGTGTGTGTATAGTGGTTGTGCTGGATCCATGGTATGCGATTTATACAGGACGTTATGATCCCTTCATGTACTCAGTAGCAATACATGTTGAAGCAGTGGACTCGGGTTACTGGGAAACTGAGGCGTCTCTTCTGCAGCCTGCCTGTCGTGATTACTGGTTATTGTGGCAATAAATATATTAAAGATGATATTCACATGAACCTGTAACCCTATTTTGGCTGTTTTCCTCCTAAACACAAGTATGCAGATTATTTATGTAGATATTTTTCAAATTAGCTGAACCACAGCCTTCTCACACATCCTCTGGTAACTGCAGAACCCCGCCTTTTGACTCCTTGCAAATCATTTTGTCCAAGCATTCATTGGTTCCACCTTTCTGATTATTAGTTGTTTTGCCTTTTTGTATTTTATATCATGAATACAATCATTGATCACCTCCATGTTTGTAGATACTTAGATGAACATGTTGGGATAACTTTAATTACCTAGTGTATGACCAGTCAAATGTCAGGACAATTAGTTTGTATTAGACGTTGGAGTTGAACATTACTTTTACAAATTGTCTGTAGGTTTGATGCTGATCACAGCCATGATTTGGAACTGGGTGTCACCCCACATTTTCATGCCTGTTCTCAAGATGATTACCATATTATGTGAGATCTAGATGCTTGTTTTACACTTCCTTTTTTTTTTTTTACATTTCTAGTGGAGCGAATGCTTCTCCAACCAGAGACAGCTGAGCAGTCATCACCAAAGCTGCAGGCTGTTCTGCTTTCAGCCCTGGAGCCTTTTCTCTACATGGCATGCTGCCATGAGGATATTTTCGAGCAGGGATAGGCGTACTATGTGCCAGACTGTGCTTGGAAAAGGCAGTTTTTTATTTCAGCCAAGCACTACAGCACATGGTAGTTCATTCTCTCTATTTGCTTAGTAAAATCAGCTGTTATCTCCTTTAGATGAAGACATTTTCAGACTGGCGTCTTAGATGTGGTGGGAGTATTTGGGGGGAATGTGTGCAACGACCACAAGGTGACAGTGTAGTACAAAACTCAGGCGGTGTGAGGCTTCACCCTAAATCAGTCTCTGCAGTTGATCCCATCCTGGTGTAATAAGTAACAACCTTTTCCTCATCGAAGATTTACATTCCAGTCAGAGAGAAACCATTTCTGAGCAGTGCTTTTTCAAG